TGTGTGTGTGTGTGTGTGTGTGTGTGTGTGTGTGTGTGTGTGTGTGTGTTTGTGTGTGTGTCTTTGGGTATCTGTGTGAGTGTGTTCTCTGGTGCCAATCACTCTTTTAAATAATTATTTTTATTACATTTTGTTTGTGTATATGTGCATACATGTGTATGTGTATGACTGGATATGGCACACATGTGGAGGTCACAGGACAACTTCTGAGAACTTTCTCTTTCCTTCCACCTTGTGAATCCTTGGGATATTTCTCAGGTTGTCAGTCTTGATGGTCTGGCCTGACCACTAAGTCATTTCTCCAGATCCCACTTGGGCCTTGGGTTGTTGTTGTTGTTATTGTTTGGGTTTGTTTGTTTTGGTTTGGTTCAGACAGGGTCTGGCTCTGATCTGGAACTCACAGTTGGACCAGGTTGGTTGGCCATTGAACACCAGGAGTCCTCTGTGTGCACCTCCTGAGCACTGAGATTATAAGCATGCACCACCATGCCCAGTTCTGTGTGTGTCATTACTGTTCCTGTGTGTGTGTGCATGTGCAGGTGCACATCCACGTGTGTCCATGTGTGTAAAAGCCAGAGATCAATGGAGTGATTCTCAGTTACTCTCCATTCTGTTTTGTGTCCTGCATGTTTTTGTGTGTGTGTGTGTGTGTGTGTGTGTGTGTGTGTGTGTGTGTGTGCACCTGTGCATGTGTGTGGAATCCAGAGTCTATGTGGTGACTCCCCTCAGGCAAGGTCTCAACTAACCTAAGTTCATCAGTTGGGACAGGCTACCCAGACAATGAGCTTCAGGGATCCTCCTGTCTCTCCAGGCACATCTTGTTCAGTGTTTGTCACATAGGTCCTTGAGGTTCTAAATCTGGGTCTTCCTGTTTGTTAAACTGGCACTTTGCCAGCTGAACCATCTCTCCAGCCCTCCACTCTATCTTTTGAGACAGGGTCTGTCCCTGAATCTAGAGCTCTTCTGTTGGTCCAGGCCAGTGAACTCCAGGGATGTATCTGACTGTCTCTGCTTCTCCAGCATCCAGCATCCTGTGGGTCCTGGGTCTGCAATCAGGACTTCCTGTTTATGTGACACTTAACTTACCTAACTGAGCCATCTCTGCAGCCCAGCACCTGATGTCTTAACCCTTTCCTGTCCAGATTCTGATATGTTGTCCATTTGTTCCTGTGCAGGGACCTCACTGAAAACACTGACAATGTTGAACCTGAAGGTAAATTCTGCCAGCTTCCTGTTTCCCCACCTGACTCTGCCTTCTTCTCCCAAGACCCCACACTTACATGAGCACCCCTCTGTATTTTCTCCCTTCCCTCCTTCACCCTGTCTCTCCCATGTAACCAAGGTCCTCACCTCACTGTTGGAACTCCCAGTCATCTGTCTCCCTTCCTGTCACAGTTTGACCTCAGCACTCTATGTTCCTTTTCTCTAGGACAATATATGGACCCCAAAGAGAACCCCAAGGTAAGCCACTCAGACTCAGGCCTGAGGGAAGTTAGAAGGATGTTGAAGAAGGAGGCAGAAGGGTGGAGGCTGCAGGATGGGCAGGACACTCAGGCTGCAGCTGCTGCAGGTGTGGCAGGACACTCAGGCTGCAGCTGCTGCAGGTGTGGGCAGGACACTCAGCTTCAGCTGCTGCAGGTGTGACAGGACACCCAGGTTGCAGCTGCTGCA